GATGTAGTAATAGTATAGTAGTAAGAAAACACTACATGAACTTTCATCTGTGAGCATGAAAAAAAATCCTTTCAGTCACTGCCTCGGCTTGTGCGTCAATGAAAATATGTGTAATTTAAGTTGGGCAGTAAGTAATTCATAAGCTGGTTGTAAACCATGTTGTGCAATTCCAGTGCAGCATCTGCAGATGTTGCATGAATTTTGTTGGCTGGCTCATTATGCATTAAGCATCAACAGAAAGTACAATACCATCTGAATGACTGAAGCATTTCTGTTATTCAGTGTAAGGTAAACAGCCTGCATGCGTATATGTGTGTATAGATGGGTAAATATTACAGTTGCAGCTGAAAGTTGCATGCACTCGTCTTGGATATGTATGTTTGGGCTTGCAGTGATTTCTGTGAGCTGTTCTTTGTCTTTGGAGTCATTGCACAACATCCAGAAAAAAAACCTGACTAACTTCTTGAGGCCAAGGCCTCTCAAATTTCCGTTAATGCTCGTGATTAAATACAGCTGGGCTTGTTTTACCACACTCACTGGACTGACAAACACATACAAATACATCTAGCACAACTAATAATACCCAAATTTTGTTAAAAGTACCTAAGAATGCTCATATTGACCAAACGCTTTCAACAAACTTCTGGCATAATAATCTAAGGGGTTTTGTTTGTATTTTCTAACTCTGTATACAGAATTTTTATTTCAGACAACCCCAAATAACTAAAACTTTGTGTCTCAAACTCTGAGTGAAGATACGTGGTGTACAATTGTTAAGCACTAGAATAATTCCCAGAAAACCTTTCAGTGCAACTGTATGTGCATTAAGTAAATCTACAGTTTACATTGTATTCATTGCATACATTTTATTTGTTACATTTTTGTCATTCTCTTTGTTTTTCCTTTAGAGAGACGTTGTTTTTCTAACATCTCTTTATGACGAGCAGTATTTATCTGCTGTGAAATGTATATACAAGCCCCCACACTGTACGTTAATTATTAACGAGTACCAGAGCTGACAGAACAAAGTCCTCCCTAATATTGAAGGTTATCTTCATATGTGATCATTAGATGCATGCAGTATGAGCGGATTAAGCACGACACACTCGGTGTGCCAGAGGTTGTGGATGCTAAAATGAAACCAGATGTTCAAACCAGAGTAATGCCTCTCTATATTTACTTTGTTTACTTCGATGACAAATTAAACATTCATTTTTATTTGAATGTGTACCCACTGGGGGAACGTTTATTAAAGTTTTCACTTCTGCCAGAATAAGTGTGTACAAGAACCTGTCTACATTATAAACGGCACTCAAGCCAGTGGTACACATTACAGATGTGAAAACCAAATGTTTGGCTGAGCTATTTGATTGCTGATGCGTTTCATGATTGATTTTGTTCCCAGGAAGCGGTACGCTGCGGGGTCCACAGGACAGTTCATGCTGGCGAGGTGGGGCCGGCCTCTGTGGTGAAGGAGGTGAGCTGTTCAACAATAACTTGAGACATTTGTGAACAGGCTGGCGCAGCCCACT